GAAGAGAATTTATAACTCCTTGAATTCATCTCGCAGTGAATGTCTCGCGTACACTTGTTTGATGAAGATAATGTACCGTGAATCGACTCCCCGAATCGATCAATCGATCTGTTGAATATCGCAACATGTCAACACGTCGATTTGTTGTCGCCATTAAATCGAATACTTCCGGTTTAATAAATACCAAGAAACAACACCCCCACAGGTATCCCCTCATCCGCAAAATCCGCTAATTACCGACTCAACAAAAGAATCGTTAATTAGCTATTTTCGTTTCCGCGAACAAATACGAGTAATTCCCCGACAATTTCTCTGTGTTTATACGACTCGATGCAACCTTTCAAACTTCTGGTTAGCGGTGATTATAATTTTTATACCCCAACCCTTCCACGACGCAACATTCGAGATATCGTGGTTGATGAGTCCATAAAAGTTTTTTTCAGTCTCCCTCTTCTCTTTTTTTTTTTATTCCACGACAAAAAAAAAACGCCTGCAATACCATCAATACTCAAGCGGCGATGAGGGGATGAGGGGATGGGGGGATGGGGGGATGGAGGGATGTTGGTGGTTGCGTATACAAGAATAAACTGCTATTCGTAAAAATGAAGTAACGAGTATTCATGCTGCATGTGAGAGGAAAGATGGAGTTGAAGGCCTATTGATGCATTTCTCAGTGGGTGTGGGGGAGGATTTTGGCATTGAGGCATTTATGACTGGTGGAGGGAAAGCAAGTGGAATCTGTTTGCGATTTAATACCGAGGTTTTAATTTTTTTTTTTAAATCACGGCTTTTTGTTAGTCTGGTGAATGGCATTGGCTCCCCCGAGGGGACGGAAATTTTTTAAATCCACATGATGGTGATGAGCCACGGAGTTAACGACACGGTTCGGGGCTTTTTGTTCTAATCCCCTGGCCACTTAAGTCTCTTCCGGATAAACAGACGTCATAACGGCGTATTCAACCCCTCGGTTGAGTAAATATGTGCACTCGAGTGATTTAACGGTGCACATACGACTGACAAGAATGCCCTTTTGGTTTTTGTCTCTTTTCGTTGGTTCATATTGTTAATGATCTTTTTTTTCAAATGACTAATAAACATGACGAATATTTTTCAATGGCAGTTTTACTCTACTGATATATCGACTCCAGAGCTTTTGCTGATCCACCGCAAAGAACACCCCCAGGAGTGATTAATCGAGAAGAATTAATTAGCAAAAGCAGGGAGTAAATCTCCAAGCGGAGCGAAGAATCCCCGGAGTACTTTGAGTGGGAATTATTTCGGAGTGGGTTGGATTCATCGGTAGGTGTGGAAATAAGAGGCCCGGGATAATATAGTTCAAGCGCAGTTATCTCTACAGCAAACTTGCCCCCAACTCGAATATTCCCTGAAAGAAAGAGTACACAGAGAGGACTGGGAATAATTAATAAAGGTGAATCAGCATTATTATTGGGTCGCTCTGATTAAACAACTAGTGCTGAAGGATTACGCCGTAAAAACACCGAGCAATTTAAAATCCTCCGATTTTTGTTGTTAATTCGAGCGGATGTAGACCGAGAAGTTTGTTATTTCTGCTATCACACCAGTTGGACACTTGGCGTTGTATATTATTAAACCACCCCTTTCAGTTTATTTTTCGTATTCTCTTCACCGGGAGAATGAGAAAATGGAGATAAGTCAAAATCTAAAATTATCCATTACTCCCTCCGTCAACGTACCTCTCAGCTACCATGAAAAACGTATAGCCCCTTTTTCTTTTGTCTCAGACTTGAACTTCTCTATACAAGCCTGATTCTACAGATTTCCCTTTCCAACCCTCTCTCTTCTAACTCACTGGAGAATGTCAAGCTGGAAGAAATCCCTCTCAGATGGTACTGGCGTCGACACAAGGCGCTCATGATGGCGTGAAATTTGGAAAGAGCCTTCGCGACTTGACTTGTATGCCACACTGAGTTAAGACCGTTCCATCCACCTTTTCTCCATCAGAAGTGAAACGTACAAATAAACCTTCTGGGAGAGAATTCTCTAGAAATTTTCCAACACCCGCGACGTCCGCGAAGTCCTAATCCTCACTTATATCGAGAGTAACATCCTAAATTTCTTAAAACCACTAATTATCTTTCTTAACCGAAATCAAATGAATTCCAGATTGCATCAGTCATGTTCTCTTCAAATTAAGTGCCAATCTTAATCATCAGTTAACGTCACGGTGGAAAAAAAATGATAGAATATGGCAAAAGCCGAAAATTAAAACCCGATGTTAACTCGACTGTATCCCCACATGTGCTATTTTTTTTTTTTGGTTTTTTTTTTTTGGTTAATACGAGTCACCAGATTACGATCGGCATCACCGGGTTCCCCCGGGTGTGCATAGGGTGTATGTGTTTTGACATTCCATGTCTGACGTTGGCATCCCCGGAGTCGCCGAGGTGGAACGGGTCGTGGTGTGTCGCCATATCCCTCCAACCGGACCATATCGTTTTCTATATATAAAGTTGTATAATCTAACACGCACTAGTTTATAGAAGCCCCTGACCCTTCGCTATTCGTCACTTCGAGTAATTTTTTTTTTGCGAAAAAAAAAAACCGCCGACTGACTCATAAATAATTGTATTATTCCTTAGCCCAGGGCCACGCAATTGAGAATATTTTTTTTGTTTTCCATGCGGCGTGAGTCATGAAATTTATTTGTAGACACGAAGTTCATTAGTATTGAGTGAAAATCGCTTGAATTTTTTATTCATCACAATTTTTTTTTTGTGCAACTGAGTATTTTGTTGAGGTTCACTTTAGGAAAATTCTAGGGGAATTATAATCTAGTGAAAACAAGCGTTCAATTATTATCCAGCAGCGGAACAAAGATCATTCAAGAATATTTCTCCAGGCATTGAATAATTCGAGAAGTCTTTGGACTTTGAAGAGGCTTGTTTGACCCGTGTTATTCAGAATGGTGAATTAACCAGAGGGAAAAAAGTCCGGGTTAAGCAGAATAACTGAATCTCAAACTATAAGGCGCCAGCGGGCAAGATGAGAGTGAGATTTGCGTTCGATATAGATTTTTGCAGTGGCAAGAGCGAAGGGAAAAATGCGGAACGAAGCAAAAACGAGTGAAGTATAAAAAGGGGGAAAAAAAAAATCAAGAGAATTACAAAGAGAGAAAAAAATGAATTCGGGGTCCAGCGGTTGAGGAGAATGAGGGGTCTGAATGGACTTTCTCGGATTTCCGAGGCGTAAATGCTGGAGGCGGTTGAGCTTCCAAGTCCATACAGTGACTTTGGTGAATTTTCTTGGCGCCTGTGGCTGAGGCCCACACTTGCGGAAATTCAGCCCAGAGATGAGATAAGTTGGTCGTATTGTAGCGGTAGAAAATGAGTTAAAGGGAGACAAGAAATTGGAGACTGAAAACTAGCGGAGGTTGAGCCAAATGGATAAAAGAACAACGCAGCTCGCGCGATCAACTGGCAATTCGAGATCTCATCGAGATGAAAATTGCTCGAGTCGACTGAAAGATATACCCGTCCTCCGACAAATAATTCAACCTCAGCATTTCCATAACCCCGAGAATTATATTCCAGTAAATGAACAATTGTCGTACGAGTAATCGGTGTACGAGTAATCGATGTAATGATTAGAAAAAAAATATCGGATTAGATAAGAAAGTGTTGACCGCGGATTTAATGTCTTCGGTAAAATATAAAAAAATCCACTATTTTTCCAGGATATTTCTGGACGTGTAATGAAACCCCATGAAAGATTATTGAATTACGGTGGGAAACTCAGTGATTGTGAGTCATTGGGAAAATCGTAAAAACTTTTGAGTCGTTGGGAAACAACTATACACACATCGAGAATGGGTTACACCCATGTGCGCCTGAAAGAGGGTCCCTTTATTGCCTAGTCGTAAACGAGGTGAGGGCGTAAACGTACATAGTATATGAGACGATACCCGGTGCCCGTTAGGGCACTCCGGCGATGAGGAAATAGTAGGTGGTAAAACCCAAGTCCAATGATCGAGTCATTCACGGTGAAGTTGACTCCGTATTCTCGTCGGTTTGAGGGTTGAACTACTGCTGTCGGTTAGCATAACACCTGGCATGGAAATGCCTAATGGAATACACAGCATTAGCATTTTGCTACTATTTCTATTTTGCATTCGAGTGTGAGATACTCGAGTAATTATTCAGAGCACTCTTAATTGGTACCGCCAGGTGATGGCAGTTTTCTCTATTTTTAATTCAAACGTTGACAAACCGAGTCAATGTCGTCACAAACGAATTCAACGAACGAATTCCATATTTCAATTAACTGGGGAGAACGAGCCGCTGGGCGGATTAATTCTCCCCACAAAAAAAAATATCCAGAATCGACCCAGAATCGAGAAGGACTGATCACTATCTCTTTTGCAACGAAATTAAACAAAAATAGATGAACATATAAAAAAGAAAGGCAGCCACTCATTTTACGCCAGCTTACCTCCAGGGGGAGGGGGTGGAAAATCCGGGGAGAGGCCGAGGGATTTGAATTTTCCCGCAAAGGCAACTGGCTTTTCCACTTGCGCCGTATTACGGTTTGAAACGTGTGACAAATTATTTGCGCGCCTTCAAACCGCTTTCTTTGAGTCAATGTAAAGTGCATTAACCTCGGGATAAACATTGAACATTATTTTATGAGTTGCGGCTTACAATTGAGATTTTAATTGATTCAGATAAAAAAGGAAAACAATTATTCCTTCTGTCTGAGGAAAAATATCTTGCACGTGCGAGCAGATAATTTTCAGCTGAACGTCAGACACTGAATTAATGAAAAGCTTATTTTCGCTCTCATCTCGCTCGATGGATTTAATATTCCATTCATGGAGAACTCCGTAAACTCGGAAATCTCGGAAATCTCGTACCTCCTCCGGAGAAAAGTCAACTACAATTTAATTCGCGTGACCACGTGACGTATCAATAAACTCGGGTTTAAATTTTTCATCGGTATTACACCAGCCTCATTGAACTCACCGGTAATTGCTGTAATGATCAGCACGATCAGATTTATCCAGCGTAAATTTCCCATTTTCAGTGTGTCCTCATTAAAGCCTCGTACTCTCTGATGAATTTCTACTCATTAACGATGCTCTCAGCACGAGATTCGATGACATCCTCCCATGTAGTGCGCCTTGATTTCTTTTTCACAGCACAATTTCACTGGGTGCACTGTAATTTGTCCAGGGACCGGTGACTTTCGTCCAATGTCCATTAGCCAAATTGACGTGTGTCTATCCGTTGGAAGGGTCCGCAGGGCGCACTGATACGTCCGTTTGAATTCCCCCGTGTCCCCCCGAAATCCGTCACCACTTGTTATCACTTCTTATTTTCTACCCAGTAGGATAATCGCGAATAATCGCGATTAATTGCCCGCCCAACCAGCCCCCACCACCAATATCTGTAGATATCACATGAACTAAACTCTCGTTATCACTTCGTATTTTAGAAATAAAAAAACCGATAAAAATTGCGAAATGAGTTTTTTAAATTATGCAATTATGGGAGATTAATTTCCGGAGGTAGATTGCACTTTGGTGTACTAACTTTGATTTAGGGGGTATTTGCGTGATGACTTGAACTGTCGGTGACAGGATAATTGTTGGTATGTCTCCGCGGGATTGGAACGAGACTGAGAGTCGCGGCGCGAAGCTGTGGCGGTTCTGTCTCGGAAGAAGACACATGCGCACGGAACTCAGCCACTGCGATACTAACCCCCCACACATTGCGCGCACTCGTACAATCCCCGTTGTATTGCCCCCCACCCATCCCCCATCCCTTCTTCTATTACCCCCCACCGCTCCCTCACCGCCCTAGCGTCCCCACCCCACCGTCCCCACCCCACCGTCCCAGTATTTTTACTCGTACCCCTATGTTTTTCTCTCATTCCGTTTTTTTTCCTCTCTCTTTTTTTTGTTTTTTTTTTTGTCAGGAGTTGTTGCGATGTAAAATTAAGATCGGATGTTCTCCCAAATGTCAGATACTTTCGTCCGAAATTACTCCCCAAAGCCAAATTTAAAACTTTTTTTATGAATCCATTAAAAATAATATTATGATGATGAAAGTATGTATGGGATGTAATTAAAATTATGATTGTTGGATTTTTTTTATTAATTGTTTGAGTTGGTTTTTTAGGTTGTGAATAGAATTTATTGCAAGGAAAATACTGGGTAGATCCACAAGCGGCAGTCGCCTTGGGGCGGTTCAACTAATTGTTTTCTTATTTTACTGGTTACGCCCCCTCTTTCACTGGCATGTTCAAAGTATTTTTTCATTACTTAATAAAGTGTTAATATAATAAAAATGATCAGTAATACGGGAAAGAGTGGATTATTTATTGGCGTGAGAAAATGTTGAATTTTTATTGAAAATTCAAAAGAGAAAATTAAATTTTTGGGGATATCTATTAATTAGCTTTTTTGTAATTACCAAAAGTCTCGTGGAATAAATTGATAAGCCCGAACAATTACACCTGGAATCATCACGATTTCACATTGCTCTCAACTTGTTCAATTTCTTCTCTTCGCATTCGAATTCACCCTTCCACCCACCAAACGAAAAAGTCCAGCACACGGTGAATTCAATTTGTGGTTACAAAAAACTTTTCCACTGTGAATAAGGTTTGTTACCTATCCCTTCACACAAACCCGAGCTAGATTAGGGGCCATTGTCGGTAGCACCTTCTCTCCCGTACGCGAACCACATTTCGAGAAGTTGGCGAACCTACACTCACAGTCACACACAATCACACGTTCTGAATGTTGGTTTAAGGTTGGAAGACACGAGAAAAACGGAGGGGATGAGTTGGAAAAAGGTAGAGGATAGCTCACAAACTTCGAGAATCAACTGGAAAAAAAACGGCCAAATTGATTTACCAAGAAGGTATCAAGTCGATTGGAGACCGTCCACTTGAGTCACCAATTTTTCCCAACATTCTCCCATTTCTCATTTTTCCCCAAAAGCTCTTCCCTGTGAGCACCATATCCTCATCTGTCTCTGCTATTTTTCATTTCAATTTTCCTAACGACTTGTCGATTGAAATCACTTAGTGACAGATCAATTAAAAATGAATTAAAAAATCAAAATAAAAAATCGCCAAGCAGTCAGCAATGGCCCCCAAAAATACAACGGTTTTATTACACTTTTGAGGGGTGAGTGCCGTGAAATATTTCTGTTTTCTCCTATTTTCCCAGTTGAAAAAACAGAATGCATGAGGTTACTTAAATTATCGTTGTTACACTCTTATTTCGTTCCCCATATATTCCATTTCTCTGTATATTTTCTTTATATCTTTCTTTGCATAAGGGCTGGTTACACACACATGGAGTAGAGGAATCTTGGATGTCGTGAAACAAATAAAAATGAAAAAATCTCCCCTGGCATATACACTAACACTGGGTAAGGGTGGGTTCATGCGGTCACGTACGTGACTACAAGCCGGCGAGTTACGGGGACACATTATATTTCGTGTCGGCTGGGCTAAGAGGGAATATGAATGGGTGTGCCAGAGAAGCGTGAAAAAAAAATCATTAAGAAAAAACTGAGAAAAACTTGAAATTAAACAAACGGAGGGGGCCTCAACCAATCACTCCTGACGCTTTTCATTTCCTGGAAGTTTAATGTAACTTTTATTTCCAGTACACTAATTACAGTATACGGTATGCAGCAAACGTGAATTTATCGATGAATTTATCTCCGTGCGAATTCGTTTGAATTGACGGTGACGTAAATAAAGTTTCCCGCGTCTTTTAAATCATTACGAAATCGCAGAGGGACTCAGACAAGTCCGAAATCCAGAGAAATCCCATTGGCGAAATGGCCGGTTCACTGATGATATACTGCAATGAGCATCCTTTGTTATGGTATGATACGTGGGCAATTATTTATCATGAAATGCGTCTGTGTGCCTTGGCTCTATTATGCCAAGGGCCGTCGACGTATTATGCCCGATGTTCCACAGCATTGGACGTACGTGTGGTAACCGTTGGCTTTGCCAAAAATCAGGGAATAATTGAAATTTAGAGACTCACCGTCGCTGCGGTATAACCCGATGGCAATATGGAGAACCCGGACCTTTCGTTTTCCATGAACAATGACCGTGTTTCATCTTGATATCGACAATTGATTATCTTCCATCCGGAATAACCTCGAGCTTTCGGCAATGACAAAGAGCCTCTCGTCCCCTTTATTATTATTATTTTTTTTCTTCCAGTGGACATCTCATTTCCTCGTTGGCTCCATCCGCAGACGGCTCTTCCGTCTCTCAACTTCATGAAGAAAAAAAACGTCAGTTGATGGTGAAAAAAAATAACGATCTACCATAAAAAACGGGAGATTTTATCATATGATAAAATGTTTATTCAGTCAAAAGATATTATTAGATAATAATAAAACTGTATTTGTGGAGTAAATGATATTTATTGGTGAGCTTTTGATATTCTCGTGATGATTACCTAACTCGAAGGGATTAAGACAGCTATCGAGGAAGTTTTGGTACTCAACATGAAAAATATTTTCTCTGAAATCAAGTGAAAACTAAGTTAAGAATTTAGTTTTTTTTTTTTTTATCAGAAATAACAAACTTTTTTACTCGGTGTTATCCCCGTCACTATATAACACACTCAACATTTTTTCTCTCTCCACTCAACTCTCACTTTTCCCGATTGGTAGATACACATGGGTGATAAAAATAATAAAAATAAAAAGCGTCTATTTCCCCGGAGGGAGTGGATAATTGACGGAGGTGATGACGTACCCTCGGATATATTTTTTTTCTCGGTTTTTTGGTTGGCCTCAAAGTGCTTTATGAGGGAATAATCGTCGGGGATCCTTGAAAAATTGTACAGAGACACTTCAAAGACCTTTCAGGAAAATCCCTGTGCCCTGTGCGCTCATGACAAAAGTATGTACATTTACCACCGACAAATGTGAGAAAAAAGGGAGTTAACACACGTGTGAAAAATCTGGGTTAAAAAAAAGTAAAGTGCCTTCACAGGCGTCAAAGGGATATCTTTATATCAGACCCTCGGACGTTATAATTTTCCCCTCGACGAATTGTTGGCGGACCCCAGAAAATGTGTTGAATCTCACAACGCGAATGCCCTTGACGCTGTTTGTACGGGTATGAATGAAAGAGATGGCTATATACTTCATCCCACAATGAATAGAATTTTTTGTTCCACCCGGGGCATTCGCGATTCACGCCAAAAGCACAACATTTAGATTCCTTTATATTCCGTCATACACCGCAGCAGTCTCGGCTTTTTTTTTTCTCCTCTCCTCCCCAGGGGAGAGATAGAGTCAAAAGCTTTCGGAAATATCGTACAACCATTGAAGGTATTGTAATCACTTTGAATCACATGACTACACCTCGCATAAAAATATATTCCATAAATATCGACAGCTTCTGAAAATTCCGCCATCCCGCGATTTCCCGGGGAATCCCGCGTTTTCAAACCGCAGATCATTCAAGAATATTCTCGATTTGTCGTTTAATATCAATTCGGTGGATTAAATTCCGGGAAAATGTCCAGTGAATTTTAATGAATTCCTGGTGATATTAATCCCCTAATATAAAATATATTGATATTCAAATACCTGATTCAAATATGATATCGATAATTTGGTATTGTTATGCCGCAACCTGGCCGGTATGTGAACGAAAAATAAAGGTTAAATTTAAAATGATTAAATGCATAATTAATTGAATCACCCGCGGGCCTCGGGAAACCACAGATATTCCCAGCCATAGATTTTCACCAGATGCGTGTAGCGTTACCAATAGAGCCACAAAGGAAAGACCCAGGCAGATTGTACGCTGCATTTAGTTTTACGTACGTGTTTCACGTCGGCTACGTGAACAAGATACGAGCCGCACACATGCGGTTGTACACGGCAACAACAGGGTAGGGCTAGAGGAAGATAGAGTTCCTGGGGATGAACGGGGTATGTTGTAAAGGTCGTGGGGAGTGCAGTTTAGGTCGGGTGCTACCACCCACGTTTGTTACCCCACCCTTTCAACCAACTTTCCCCACTCTTCCTGTTCATGTGTATCGTTTCCCTGAGTTAGTGGCTAAACTCAGTGTATTTTGCAGAGGGCATCAAGGCTCTTCACATAAATATCACTCTCGTAATCTCCATCTGACTGCCAGATGGCATCCTGATATGAGGGGATGGGAGAGAACATCGAAAACTTGATGAGTCGATCTGACCTTGTATTCGATAAAAAAAATATTTGACCAATCCATATTGTGGGGTTTTTCCCCGTGTACTCCGGGGAAAAATCATAAAAGATAACGATCCCGGAGCATCAGGATAACCCTGGAATTATCCTCGAGTTCTGCCCCATGGGACAGCTCCGGTAAACTCCACAACCGTGTCTTAGATTCTCGCTGGGATAACTCCCCATTAATTTTGGCAGGCGGCATTTGGAATGTACAGAGGAAAAAGAGATAGTGGAAAGAGTCGTAATCGCGTGTCCAAGATGTTCTCAAAGGGGTGGGCCACGTACCTTTTTCGCATATGCTCTCAGTGAAAACTGCCATATACCACTTTTGTTTTTCCGCCGTTTCCACTTTTCCACTATTTTTTTTTTCTTCCCCTCTGTATCATACAAAACGATCTCCCCCGGAGTTAGAATATCGTTCCCATTGGGATGGTCACGGATTTGAAAATGCGAGGAAAGACCCAGTGCATGGAAAAACTTA